ACCCCTCCCATTCTCCACTGACATCTACAAATTTTTGGTGGGCTTTAGGCTATGGGCTCAACAGGGAACTGAAACAGAACTGAACAGAACAGCAGCAGGAACAGGCAGCAGGAACAGCAACTGAAATCCTACATAATTAAAATACTTAAAGGCTTTAAAGGCAGCAAGAAAGTTTTTAACTTTTAAATTGTTGAGCCTGCCCTAGCCTGGCCTGGCCTGGCCTGGCCCAGCCCATGTTACCTTCCCGCACCCCGTTGTCGTTCCATCTTCTGGCCCTGATTCTTCCCTCTGGCAAGGCTGTTCCCTCTGGCAAGGTTCTTCCTTCAGGCCTTTACTTCCCTTAGTCTCCTTCTGCCTCTGCCAGCACTCTTATCGGTTCAGTGTATCATACAAAAGGGCGCACATGTGTAGAAATGTTTTATTAGGGGGTTTTGGGTAAGGTTACCCTGCCGCATGTGTGTGTGTGTGTGTGTGGGGGTAAGGGTATGCCTGCCTGCCTGTGTATGTGTCTGCTGCTGCTGCTCAACTCTCTAAGCTTACTTAAGCATTTTTGCCCCAGCCTCGGCCTTCGATGTCAGTCGCAATCTCAGTCCCAGTCAGCGGCCAAAATCGCGTCGATAAAGTTCCTCCATTCGTTCGCACTTAAACCTGCAAGCATCCCCTCCCCCCCAGTTCGTTTGGGGGTATCTTCGAGTGATTAGCTCTCTTCCACTGGCAGCAATTAGCTGAAGTGAATTTCTGAACGAATTTCACTTAAAATCGATTGAAAAATACTCAATTGAATATATCTACGCGAAGAAGCAATTTGATAGCTCCACTGAGTGGAGTTCAATTCAAAATCAGTTGAGTTTTAGTTCCCTTTGCCGCAGCTTTCTCTTGGTCCGCATTACTCATACGCCTGGTGTACCCATCTGTCATTGCTCATACGCCTGGTGTGTCTTGGTCTGTGTCTTATTGCCCAATACGTACGCTGCTTTGTCCTGCCAGTGTCTCTCATTGTTCAGTGTGCGCGCCGTCTGCTGTGCCCAGTCTGCTGTGTCCTTCGAGGCATTGCCTTGCGACGTTAATTGACAGGACACCCACATAGATTTTCATAATTTTTGTTATTAGATAAACACACACGAGCGCAGAAAATTAACAGCTGGGTTCGCATAATTTGCTGCGGGGTCATCTGGCTGCATATTTTATTACAAATTGTATATAAAAGTGGGGGGGGGCCTCCTGGCCAGCCTACCCTAACTCACTGGTCGTAAGCTTTTGGCCCAGGGCCCAGGGCCCAGGGCCCATGGCCTCCTTCATTGTCGCCTCATTTTGACCTCGATTTAACGATTTTGCTTTGTCATTTGGTAGTTTAATTATGTGCATGGAAATTTATGTGCGACTCCTTGACTTTAAATGAACTGTAAGGACCAATGGCGACCAATCCTTTTCTGCCGCCAGCTGTTGCCCCCCAGAACTCCACACACACACACACAAGCAACAACGGGACTGGAACTGGGACCGACCCCGACCCCGACCCCGACCTTGCACCCAGACTTGAATCTGGACCTTACTTTCAGTTATTTATGGTCGAGTCGAGTCTGATAATACACAGAAAAAGCAAAGCGAATACAGAGAGCAGGGAGGGAGGGGAGAGAGAGACCAAGAGAGGTCGGTCGAAAGAAAGTAAAAAAATAGTGTGGGGGAGGCAGGGAGGGAGAATGTTCTGGGCGGCTGATTAAATTTTGTATTAGCTCAATAAATTTGCAATAGAGCAAAGAAGTATAAAAAATGCCCTGCGACACGCAAATAGACGTCGCTTAACCCGCCACTGGCCGTTGTCATATTTCAGGCCAGACCCTCCAGACTCGGACACAGACTCAGACTCAGAACGGGAAGGGAAGGGTTGTAGCCATTGTGGTTTCGGCTATAACTTATGTCGCTGGTAATATTGCAGAGCTTGCTGTGTGCAGCAGGAAGGGTATAGGATAATCTGGCTGAATGTTTGCATATGAGGAGCAAGCAATGAACCATATGGAGTGCCGTCGATTAGCTGCTGGGCTAATCCCATTACGGCTTAAGAGATTACAGCAAACGGCAGGGAGGACACTGAACAATGAACTCAGAACTCTGAGGATGAAGGCTGGGAGGGCTTGCTTTTTATGGTTATTTACTGTACGCAGATCAGCTGTCAAAGACTGAGCTGGCAAAGAATACCCTCCAGAAGGTAACCCAAGCAGGCACCAAGGAACAAACCCCAAGAGGCTAAACATTCCAAATAAATATGGAAGTATTTTATTAGCTAGCACTCGTATGGGACTTAATATTTTAAACACCCAAATAAAGTAATTTAATTGTAATATTTCAGTATACAATACCCAGGGGAGGGGAGGTTCCACTTGGTTTGCGGATAATGCCATGAAACGCCTTCTGGCGATTCAAAAGCTCTGCCATATTATTCTTTGTGGATCCTCCTCTAATCTAGTCTTTTCAATTTGCAACTGTCTCCCAATTGCATTTCACTTTTCGCTCTACGTTTTTATTTTCCGTCGTCGCTGATTTTATTTATCGCCCTTCACTTTGGCTTGCCTTGCGCCGGACTTTGGACTGAACATTTATCACAGCTCGTGGACGGACGGGTGGACAGACAGAGTGGGGCAGTGGGGCAGGCAGTACGATGATTGGGGCTCCAATTTGAGCTGGGGAACGGAGCTGCCAACAGGCTGGGGCTGGGGGGTGGGGTACGAGCCATGCCCAATGCCAAATGCCAAACTCCACTGGTCGGTCATGTTGGCCTCGCGTTAATTACGCGACTTTTGCTGCGGTCGCCTATTTGCTGATTGCATGACAGCGTCAACGTTGGCAGAGGCACGCACGACTTGCGCGCGCGGCCTGCTCTCTGGGCAGCAGCCACATCCTACTCGACATCCGCCATCACCCCATCAGGCATCACCCCATCAGCCATCAGCCAACAGCTCCTGGCGCCACCCAGGAGCGCTCGAGGCTCACTCAGCTCATCTGCAATGCTCGCATCGCTTCCGAGGCCGAGTTAGTCACGCCAATTTTATTGCATTCCTGTTTTCTGTTTCTGTTTCTGCTTCTGTTGCTGGCTCTGGTTCGTGTTCTAATGTTCGGCTGGGTCTAGGGTTCTGTTCCAAGAGTTTTGTTTCTGTTTTTGCCACGAGGCGTCGCCTGCCTTTCGGTTGGCTTGGGCTGGGGTTACGTGGGCGTGTCCATGCCCATTCACGACTATCAGTCGCAACAATGGCGATGGCAGTTTTCGGATTTCAAGCGGAACAATTAAGTTAACGATCTGCGGACGAAAGCCAAAGCGGCAAAGAGCAAAAGTGCGCCTACAACATGGTCAACTTAGGAGTGGGGGGGCATGCAGCATGGGGCATGGGGCATGGGGCATTCAAGTGGTTCCTGGCAAATGGAAACGGAAGTAGGGAACAGGCAGTGTGGCAGTGGCAGTGGCAGTGTGGCAGTGTGAGTGCGCGTGCGAGTGGGTCCTGGGAACGTGTTAAGCTGGCCACATCGCAGAGCTGGCCACTGGACACGAACAGAACGTTGGCGACAATTGCACGTCCGCCTGGTGCCTCTTATACCTCCTCAAACCATCCTCAAACAAAGCCCAGCATCATCCAGGCTTGGCGGCCTGGGGGCTTGGGCCCTGGTCCGTTCGTGGTCCTGTAGTGGCTTTAAGTCTTTAAGTGGGCTCTCATCCGCTGCGCCATCCTGCTGCAGGCTGTCCTTCAATTAGCCAACAAAACTGATTAAGTGAATAGGCCATCTAATGTGGCCAAAAGGAGAAGCCAATGCAAATGCCAAACGAAAAGAACGAAGCTAAAGAAACAAAAAAAAAAGCAGCCAAAAAAAAAAGAATACCCGGAAAATGTCCTAACCCGGACGTAATTTTTTTGTGTGTTTCCTTTGCCTCGTTTTGCCTTTTCGCTCCGTTGAGGAGGAGGAGGAGGGACTTGAAAGTAAACAAAGTTTTAATTTCCTTCAATGATTTCTCTGGGCATTTGTTTTAACTCAAGTAGGATCTGAATCAGAAACAGAAGCCTCCTCACAGCACTCACCAGAACGGGGAGGGGAGCAAATGCTCGGCATCATAATCAAGTTAGATAAATCTAAATCCTTTGCGATAAGCGGCTAAAGAATAGCCTGACCTCCAGCCCCATCCCCCATCCCCAGCCCCAGTCCGGATATCTCCATCAAAGTTGCTCCGTCTGCTGCAAGGCTAAATGGGTTGTCGGAGGGGCAGAGCAGAGCCCAGCAGAGCCCAGAGCAGAGAATGGAATGGAATGGAATGGGAGGTCCGGCTACGAATTAGAGTGCCACAGTCGGGGCGAGTGAATAGAATTTGTAATTTCCGTTTTCGTTTTGTATGCTAACCAACCCACTGACCCCAGTCCCAGTCCCAGTCCCAGTCGCAGTACCCAAGACCCGCCCCACAGCTGGACGCCCTGCAGCCACACACACTTAAAGCGCTCCACAATGAAAGTGTATCCGAAAACTGATGTTTGCTGCACTGCAGCGCTGTGTGTGGCCTTCAAGCAGTTCAATTGGTTTCGTTTCAAAACCCAAAACGAAACGGAACGGAAAGGGTAGTGAATGGAGTGGGAGATTGGATTGGTTGGGGGACTGCGTTGAATACTTATGATGATGACTAAACACTCTGGGTCTGCGGGCGATATTTACTGTTGCATTTAAAGATGAGAGAGACCATTGGAAAGCATTTTCCATTTGCCAGCTGACAAATACGAGAATGGGTAAAGGAGAACCCAAAAAAAAAAAAAAAAAAATACTGACATTGCTGTTGCTGAGGCTGCTGCTGCTCCCTCCTCTGGGAGATTCACGGAACTAAGCAGGTGTCACATGACTTACAGACTACACAAAGCCGTGGGCTGGCCTTGGGCTGGCCTTGGGCTGGGGGCTGGTGCTACTTGCCTTGGTCATGGGCACCAGGAATAGACCCTGGAGTACGTGTGAGTGTGAGTGCTTGATACCGGGCGCCATCTAGTTGCCCTTTCGCCGTTTCCGACGTCGTCGCCAGGCCACATGGCCCAGCAGCTGGACGAGCCGTGTGGCCAGGAAGCGGACATGGCGCCACTCCACGCAACTGGCGGCGGCTATAAGGAACATGGTGTTGATGCTTAGCGCCAGCGAGGCGGCGGAGCTGCCCAGATTGCCCTTGGTCAGCTGATCGGAACAGCGGCCGATCGAATCGATGTCCAGTTCGCTCATCACGCGTCCGTTCACCTCCAGCGGCGAGATGCAGTAGTTCTTCTGGAGGAAGTCGCTCAGGTTGTAGGCGCCCTCGGCCAGGGGTCCGTCCAGCAGGGTGTGGATGTGACAGCCGCACGGGAAATGGTTGTTCATCAGCTGCAGATGATCGACACCGTCGACAATGATGGCGTTCGGGTCGGGCGTCTCCAGCACATGATTGCCGTAGAATTTCAGATGCTTGATGGCCGCCGTGCTGGTGAAGTTCAGCTCCTCGATGGAGTCGATCTTGTTGTTGAGGATCTGCAGCGTCTCCACCTGGGTGAGGCCGGTGAAGGCGTCTGCACAGACAACGCCCAGATCGGACTCCTGCAGGGTCAGCAGCAGCACATTGGACAGGCCCCGGAAGGTGAACGGTGCGATCTCCTTGAGGTCCATGTAGGCCAATTTCAATAGGCCCACCGCATCCATGCCGAAGAAGGCATCCTGCTCGATGCTGCGAATGCCCGACGGCAGGATCAGGTGTCCCACATTCGTCAGGCTGGAGAAGGCCGAGCTGTCAATGCGTATCAGTGGATTGTTGGTCAGCAGTATCAGCTTAATGTTGGACGTGCCCGCAAACGCATTGCCCTCGATCCGCTGAATCTGGTTGTGGCTGAGCAGTATGGTTGACAGATTTTGCAGGCCCGCAAAGGCGAACTGGGCCACTGTCTGCAGTGGCGTGTACTGTATGGAGAGCTCCTTGAGACGCGGCAGTCCCCTAACGCGAACTGCTTGATCCGCGTTATGTTGTTGCCGTCCAGCGACAGTTTCTTCAGCGCCCGCAGTCCGGCGAACGAGTCCGGCTTGATGATCGGAAAGTTGTTCTTGGTCAGGGCCAGATTCTCCACTGTCGCCGGCAGCTGGCGCAGCGGAATCTGTTCGAGGCCGCCCGTGTTACACAGCACCTAAACAAAGGAGAAAGCAAAAAGGGAAAAGTATATGGAGTCAGTCTTTATTTAATTACAAGTAACAAGAGGAAGGTTCTATGAGCCAATTTCGGCGTGCCAACTGACCAAACTTTAAGGATTTATTTGGAATTTTGAAACTAACTTTTGCTTGGATTTTATACGCTATGAAAACTGCTTCTGGCGCGGATTATCTAGAGGGGTTTCAGGCGCAAATTCTTAACAGGTGTGAATATTATTTAAATTGGATTGAATATATAGACAAAACTGCTTTTGAGGTACGTTCTCCGGGGTATTCTCTTGTATTCTGTATTCCCTATTCATATTGATTCTAATTCTTTATGCAAAGTCTCAAATCTGTAACCGTTTTGTGCATTTTAATTTTGAATCTCAATTATTTGTAGAGTTTCTATTAAGTGCTCAATATTATCTGTGATTATTTTTAAAGATTTTTTAGTTATTGCTATTTATTTTTGTCATACTTCTTTGGCTTGTGCTTGTCAACAGCTTGAATGAGCTCTTGCCATTTTGTATTTTGTTTGTTCGGGACTTTTCAGACCATTCTCTCAGGGGAGAAAAGTACTTCATTTTAAGCAGAACTATCAATAAATTGCTATCACAATATATCCGAAATATATTCTCTCCCCTTTTGTTATTTGTGCTAAATTTCTTTTCTGCATTGCCTGATTTCCATATCATTTATTTTTTCTATCAGCCTTAAGAATTCTATTAGTTTAATGAATTTCTGATGTGCATTTGAACTACCCCCCCCCCCCACACACACACACACACACACACATTTCTCTGTCCTATCGCTGAGCTCATGGTCTCCTTTTTTGTTTATTTTTCTGACGTTTTGATGTGACACCAAACCCAAAATCCCTGCCCTGTAAGGTGACCCTTGCCCTATCTCTATCGGGTCTGTCGGACTCATCAAAGGTTTTCGTTCTTAATCAGTTTTTGGCTTGCTTTATGACATGTCCACAGCCCCACATCTGGGGGCACATTGACACCACCGTCATGGCAACTTGGCTGGGCACGGGCAACGGGCAGCAGTCGCAGGGCAATCAGATCAGACGCCATTTCGGGGCAGTTCATGGGATGTGTCGGTGGAGGGGTAGGGGAGGGGCGGCTGAAGCTGGAAGATGTTGCGTTTGATGGGTGGCGCGAAAATTGAATTTGTGGCTTTATTGCTGAAAATAAAATTAAATCGAATTCTTTTTTTGTCTGCGTGGGGGTGGCAGTGGGTGGCATTGTTTTGTCGCCCATTTTCTTGTTCTTGGCCATTCTGCTTTGGGCCTTCATTTTTTTTTTTTATAACTATTATGTGCTGATGTGTGCGTTTCCCCGTCAAGCACTGACGCCGCCGCCTCTGTCCCACTGTCTGTCCCACTGTCTGTCCTGTCCTGTCCTCTTTGTGTGTCTGTTGCGAGACTGTCGTCGCAACAGCTAGGGCCTGCCGTCTACGTCTGCGTCTACGTCTCCCTCGCCCCCTGTCAACGTCAACGTCTGCGTCATCATCTCCGTCTTCTTCTGCGTCTCCGTCTCCTTCTGCGTCTCGGTTTGAGGCCCCATCTTTGGGGAAACAGTGCATAACTGTCTATCGCGTTGTCACGTTGCACAGTCCCCTGATAGCGTTACGAGTGCTTTACCTGTTCTTACATCAGCCCAGCCCCAGTGCGCCCCCTGCCAGCCTTGGCTTACCTCAGATAACCTCAGACCTCACTCACTGCCCTTCGAGAACACGCCGCTCACCTGCCGCATCCCTCCTCCCACCTCCCCCCCCCACCTTGGCTGCACTTCTTGCGCGACGTTTACACAATTTTCATACGCTTCACCTTTTTAAATGAACGAATTAAAAGTTTCCTTTCTTCGTTTCGCTTTTCACTTCTGCGACTGACTTCTGCGTCTCTGACTGACTCACTCTCCGACTCTATCCAGCTTCCCAGCTCCCCAGCTCCCCAGCTCACTTCTGCCCTGTCCCCTTGCTTTTTTTTTTTTATTTATTTATTTTTTTTTCGTTGTTGTATGCTTTTGTTGCTACTGTTCCATTACGTTCTGGTACTGGCTCTTGCTCTGGCTCTGCCCCTTTTTTCGTCAGGGTTTCTTAAGGTTCTGTCCATTTGTGTTCCGGTTTTGGTTCTAGTCCTTTACGGGTTCTATTCTGTGCTGGCCCTCTACGGGGCTTTCATCTGTTCTTTTCTGATTCTGATTCTGATTCTGTTCGGTTAGGGCTTCTCTACTATTCTGGTTGCTGGTTCTTTTCGGGGCACGGGCATGGGCTCTATGCTGGTTTTGGGTCTTGTTTGGGGTCTGGTTCCTGCTGGTTCTGTTTCGGTTGCGTTGTTCGATTTAATGAAATTTCATTTCCATGCATTTACAGTTGCGAATCCAAGCGACACGCTTAAAAAGTCTATTGTTCGCTGAACTTTAACTTGAGCAGACTGGCAGGGGGTGGTGACTGGTACTGACCCAAAAAAGCATGCTACACTTTTGTTACCTTTCCTTTTTTGCCCCTCTTTGCTGCGGGTTGGGGTGGGTGGTGGAACTGAACTAATTTCGCATCTTAAATACAGTTAACTGTAGCAAAAGAATACGAAGACCTCTGGCCTGAACTCATTTCGGTGCCCTGAGTGGGCACTGAGTGAGAGAGTGGCGCAGTGAGAGAGGAAGAGCTGAGTAAATCATTGCATTGTCCATAATCCGGAATAATGAAATCACTTAAGTTCTCAATTTGGTAAAAATGACGATGGCAAGTTCCCACTGGTAATAAGGATGCGCATTAAGCGTGCTCCAAGCCCTCGTGGGACACAATTGAATACTGCCATGGCAGAGGCGCAGACACAAAGGATGTGGGGGTGGGGGGGATTTGAATGGGAATGGGCATGAAGCTTGGGAATGGGAATGGAGCAATGGAGCCGGGGCATGGGAATGGGAATGTGAATGTAACAAGTGGAGAGGAGGCGTGTGACGAGGCACAGCATTCCCAATCCACACAGCTACACAGGTGGGATGAGTAGCAGCAGCAGCAGCAGCCAGCCAGGCAATGGGCCAATGGGTGGCACTTGAAGAAACAAAAGAAAAAAAATAACCATTTCCCTGCATTTTCGATTTAATTTTTGTGCTCATCACTGGGTCGGTATGGGCCGTGCCAAGTTGGAGCCAGAGACGGAGCCAGAGCCAGAGCCGTAGCCGTAGCCGGAGCAGCTGTGGCCATTGCCTGACCACCGGCTCCCCAGAGATCCTCATTCTTTGCTGCTTGTGCTTCTGCTTCTGCTTCTACATTGCTCGGTTCTCTGTCTCTGCCTTTGAGTCGAATGCCGCCGCTGATGATGATGATGGGATGGTTCTGCATACAACTGCACAACTAACCTAACCTCACTCCCACGACTCTTGACAGTGGTGCAAAGTGCGTTTGCCAACACTGGTGAGACACAGACCTGCATTATATATTTTTCCTGTTAATTGGCGAGTATATGCAACCAACAGACTACTCAATGGAGCTATTGATTGTTATTTGTAATGTTAATCGTAGACTTAATGCTGTGACGGATGATTGTTTATGGAAGGAAACAAAAAAGAACGTTCTTCGTGGAGTTAAGTAACCAAATCTCTAGTTGTTGAATTAGCAAATCAATATCTGAAATTGCAACTAGACTAATTTGGTGCTTTCAGGCACCAGTTTAATTCCTCTAGAATTTAATATATTTCTATAATTGCGGAAAACCAACGATCGGAGTTAAAAAAATATATATATTGCTGGAAACGAATTTCCTTTGGAAGTGGTAACTGCAGTGCTGTTGTTCCATGTGCGGAATAGTGGGTAAACTTTCAAAGTGGGTGTGACTATTTTTTTTTGTGAAACCATAGGTAGCCATGGTACCACTGTGCCTTTGGGTTTAGCCTCCGCACTCTCCGCAGCAGGCAACACGCACCACTGCAGTACAAGTAGATTGTTAAGCTTACTTGAGTCTGGGACAAGCAGATGCACTCGGCTGGGCATGATTTGGATGTTTCGGTGTATTGCGAGTTCCACAGGCAGACGACGACGGAGAGCGCAATTATGAGCAGCAGCCAGGAATTGCACATTTCACGTTCTTGCTGACACGACAGTTTGGCGGCGTAATTGAGCTCGATTCTCTCTTGTCCGGCTGCTGCTCTTATATTTTTTCGTTCTCTCCTTCTGCTGGATGGGGTGTACTGCTTCTTCTGCTGCTGCTCCACCTCCTTCTTCTTGCGTTGGCTACTGCTGCTCCTTCCCCGTTCCTCGTTCCTCCTTTTTTTTCTTGTCGTTTTGCAGCAGGCCAAATGTATGCTTCACCTTTTGCGCCTTCGCCTTCGCCTTTGGCTTGCCTGCTGCACCTTCCTTCTTCTTGTTGCGTGCTTTCTTCTACTCTTCTGATTCTGATTCTGTTGCTTCTTTTGCTGCTTGTACTTCGTCTTCGTTTTTTTTTTTGTTTATTTGTACTCTTCTTCGTTATTTATGTTTTTATATTGCGTTATTTCATTTGAACTTTCCCTCTTCTTCTGCGTCTTCTTCTGCTCCTTCTCCTTCTCTTTTTTTTTTATTATATATTCTTAAGCTTAATCATATTTATTTACGCTTCTCCCTCCGCTCTTTTGCTGCTGCTGCTGCTAGGCGCTCCGGGGGCGTGGCATTCCGATAACTGTGAAAGAGAAAGAGTGAGAGAGAGAGTGAGTGAGAGAGAGTGAGTGAGCAAGGGGAGTGATAAAGAGGCAGCTGTTAGATATCACAACTGTTCGGTGCTCGAGTTGGCGCTGCTGCTGCTGCTGCGACTGCGACCGAAGCAGTGCAACTGAAGCAGTGCGACACTTAAAAGTTATGACTTACTCGAACTAAGCAGGACTCAACACGTACAATAGCCAGGGATATACATACATATGTATATGTATGTATGTATGTACTACATACAGTGAGTGCAGTGAGCACTCGCTTTGGTTAACTTTTGAAATTTGACTTAAATTTGAATTTCTGTAACAGAATATATTATTATAATATAATAACATAATATAGGAGACGTTTACAAATACTTAAATTACATTTAAAATTCACATATGAATAATTGATCCACATACATATGTACATAGGCACATACTCCTATGTAGGTAGCATGTACCCAGCTGAACCCCAAGTTATAGGCAGTTTTAATCATCAAATTTAATTAAAAAGGGGGGGGGGGGGGGGGGGGGGGGGGAGGGAGGGGGAAAGGGGGGGAGGGGGGGGGGGGGGGGGGGGGGGGGAAAAAAAAAAAGGGGGGGGGGGGGGGGGGGGGGGGGGGGGGGGGGGGGGGGGGGGGGGGGGGGGGGGGGCGAGAGGGGGGGGGGGGGGGCCCAACCCGAAAAAAAATACAATTCATTTAATTCATTATTATAATATTTTTAGGGTATACTCGTCCGTATGGTTCATGGCTTTACTGCTTTACTGCTCGTTGAACCATCTTACTCTCTCGCTCTCGTTCTCGTTCTCGCTCTCTTCAGACATCGCTCTTTGAAGATGAACACAAATACGAGTATCGAAACCATGGACAAAGACGCCCATGAAAAGTTATCGTTTTATTGCATTCAAAGACAAACTGTATCGAGTGGACAACTTTTCTGATAGCCTGGCACTTAAAAATGTGTGTATTCTGTTCTGTTCATGCCACAGTTGAGGACTTACTGTACTGTACTGCACTGTACCGTATGTAGCTGCAGTTGGCATTTGATTTCAGTGAGCTTTGCTGGTGAGCCTTTTCTTTTCCGGCCATTTCCATTTTAAAGCCTTCGACATATCCAACATTTATGTCCAGATTAAAACCGGAGTGGTAACCGGAGTGAGTGACACAAGAGGGCGACTAAAGTGCCGACTCGGAGCCCAGCCTCGGGGCCCCATTCAGATGCCTGAAAGAGAGACGGAATTGAGCCTCGACTCAGCTGCAGCCTCCGGTTCTGTCTCCGGATCTGGCTTTGGCTTTGGCTCTGCCTCCGTTTCTGTCTCTGTCTCTGTCTCGGTATCGGTCTCTGTCTCCGGCTGTGGCTCCAGCTCAGGCTACAACTCCTCTGCACTCTGCACTCTTCACTCTTCGCTTGACTGGTGAGGCCTTCTGTCTCTGCTCTACAAATAGCTGCTTGTTAATCATTTATAATAAATAATGCTCAGGTAGGAGTTAAGTTGCAGCTGCAGCAATAGCAGCAGCACAGCAACAGCAGAAACAACAGCAACGACAACAAGGATGAACAAAGCCAAAGCAATATAATAACTAAAATTACTCTAAAGAGAATTTCCAATGAGGCAATGTCGCTTGCACTTGCCACTGCCACTGCCAGATGGAGATGATGCACAGCGTGATGGGGGACGGTAGAGGGTAGGGGGGTGGGTTATACGATAGGGTTGAGGAGAGTGAACAGAGTTGACACAGCTTGTTTGAAATGTTTAAATGCACAAATCAAATATGCAAGCAGTCCGAACTCGAAGCTGGCCAGAACGGCATCGCACCTGATGTTATAGCAGCAGCAGCAGCAACAGCAGCAGCAGCAGCAGCTATATGCCACACTCCGCCAAGCCCCTGCCACCGATCCATGTCTAAATCCTTGCCAGCAGCTTCGCTTTGGCTCTTAATTGGACACCGAGGAAGGCAGAAAGCAGTGGCCAGAGCTTTAGCTGCTGCTGCTGCTGCTGCTGCTGCTTCTGCCTGGATATTGCCTTCAGGTTGGTTGGCAGTGGGGGGGGCGTGGAGAGAAGGGAGAGAGGGAAGGAGGGAGCCGCATCAGCACAATAATACTCGTAAATAAGCGCAGGCATAAATGCGTGACATTATAATTGGAAACCAACAAAGCAGGAGCAGGTTTAATGTGGGACCAGCAAGCAGTAGAAAGCAGCAGCAATCAGCAACTAGAACGAGAGAGAGTGAGAGAGACACACACACAGTGTGAGAGGCGGAGAGGCGGAGAGGCGGACAGGTGAGAGGCTAATGCAATTCAGAGATGTATTTGTTTGACAGGCAGCAGAGCAGAGTAGCCCCGAAACAGTTGTGCGGCGAGTGGGGGTGGGGGTGGGGGGGATTTTGGCAAATATCCTTAATATCCTTTAAAAAGAGATGGATAGAGAGCGGAATGGATAATCATATCTATGGTAGAGACATATCTAGGTTAAACATATAGAAATAGAAATATAAATAGAAATAGAGACACAGCAGCGGCAATGCAGCAATGCTGGAATCAGTGAAGTAGATGCGAGTATGTGTAGGTGGCACATGGCACATGGCACATGGCACATGGCACTTGTCAGTTGGATAAGAATTCGCGAATCGCTCACAGTCTACGTACGTACGTATATTTCTGGCTCCAACTGCGAGTACGATACGGCATAGCGCCCATGCAATCGCATTACTTGCTTACGTTCCAATTCCCGTTCACTCCACCTCCACCCACCTCCAGCCAGCTTCGTCTATAAAAAGGATAAAAGCAAAATAACAAATGCCGGCACAAACTCAAATAATGCACAGACAATTGTGTAACCAATAAGAGCACCACCAGCCCCAGCCCCAGCCCCAGTCCTAGAGCCAGAGACAGAGCCAGAGACAGACCCTACAAGTCCCTACCACGACTTGGACCAGGACTAGCACTAGAAAATGTGTCCTACACGTATGTCTGCAAGTGAGTGTTTGGGCGGGAATCAGGACACTGCCAAAAGGAATCTCAAATGTGGCACAAGAGAGACAGAGAGACAGAGAGAGAGAGAGAAAGATACAGAGATGTAAACAACGGGTTGGGGTGGGTGGATGGTGGGGCTTAGAATCCACTCGAGAGTGAGAGAAGGATTCGAATAAACATGTGGGTTAGTCCGCTCCTTCTCTGGAGTCCTCTGCAGTCCTCTGGAGGAGCATCGCCCTTCGCAGCTAATCAATCAATTTTATTAAGCATTTTATTGAATTAACACAGGGAGTAACCAGGCCCAGAGTACCCCAAACCCCCAGCCGGACAAAAGAGTAGACCCAGATCCCCAAAAAGCAGCCCATACGATTGATTCCAATATTGGCATTGGAAAGTGGATTGAATTGAGGGAGGGCAGGGCAGGGACCGGGGTGGCAAGCCAATCCGAGCTTCGTTATTTTCCCAGTCTGTTTTGACTTGTGTGCAATCCTTTAAGCCCTTATTAGAGCCAATTAAGAGGATAAGTTTGCTGCCAAGACAGAGCAATAGAAACAAATGAAGCAACAAAATTGGAACAGCAGCGAAAACATGAAGAAAGGGAAAAGAGAAAGGAGCAACAAAATAAAGCAAGGAAAAAAGCAGTGCGGGCAGCGTTCTTCGATCGCATTTCGTTGCTTAAAAAACATCAGCGGAAATATCTTTATGTGTGTACATTTTTGAGAATCCAATATCCAAAATTTGCCCAATATTTCCATAGGAGTTACACAATAATTCCTGCCCCATATCTGACATATCTTCTGCTGTTCATTCTCCATCAGGAATAAATGTGGTCTTTATATACAGGTATATATTAATAATATATCGGGGGGCCGCCCCGGTCATACCCAAAGTATTTGCCTTTACATTATGGGTAATAATTTTTTTTCATGGTTTTTTTCAAGGGTCCTGTACTTATATCTGGTTGCAGCTTTTGGTTTGACCTACGAATGCGTATCCAATGTCTCCCTAAAAGTATTTCATCTTTTTTTCTGTGTTTTTGGGTGGTTCGTGGGGCTGTGGGTCCCCGGCTCGGCGCAGGCGGGGGGGGGGGGGGGGGGGATGTGCACCAGATATAAGATGTTACCAAAAATAGAAGCACTACCTCTGAAAAAAAAATATACCAGATTTAAAAAATTAAAAAAAAAAACCATAAAAATAACCCAAACCACAAAAGATTATAATAAATAAATTAAATTTGAATGTTGCCTGAATGGCAGTGGAATAATCCCTGTTCTCTGCTTGTTCTCTGGCTACTGCTATGTAAATTGTTTTCGATTTTTAAATGATCAGTTCAGAGGGCAGTGGAATTAGCTCCTAAGCAAAGGTACCTTTGGAATTCCTTGGCTCTGGATTCCATTGTGTGTTTGAGATAGTCCCACGGAAGCCAAAGAATTATACAATTGGTGTTTGGCCGATGCCCTGCTAGCCCTTAGCCTCAAATGTTGACTATTGCGAGATCGTATAAGGGTCGCCACTGTTCCTGGTGCCCGGCGCCATAACTCAACACTGGCCAGGATGCTGCACTGTGGCAGCTGCAGCAAGATGTTGCATTAAATGAATGGCAAAGAAATAAAACAGCAAGAAAACAACAAAACAAATACTCGTACGTGCTGCGTGCGTATATCTCTAGAAGGATAACTGATATAAAGGAGCCAGTAAATATAATTATTTTGCCACACAGGATGCACACACAGGAGGGACCCAGGGGCCAGTAGCCAGGGACTAAGGCACCATACAATGTCTGGAGTTTGTCGTCGGGTCAATGGGGGGAACATTCAATTGCTGGACAGTGAGGCTGGCTGCTGGCCCTTACCTGCCCAGCCCAGGGAACGCCGTTCGCTAGCAGCTAGAAGATAATTCCCAAAACCACAGAAAGAACTTTGGCACACACACACACACACACCCTATGGAGAGGGCAGTTGGGCGGCTGGTGGGTCATCAGTCAATCTGGTCTGGGGGTAGGGCTATGGGCAGAGAGTGGTGCATTAGGCGCTGGAAGCTGTGCGGTGGCAGCTCTTTAAATTTCAATGTCCTGGCTACAGGACACTTCATTAATGATAGACTCGAACTGCAACTAGAACTGAGCCTGCATCGGATGCTTGCTGCTGCTGCTGCAAGGAACGCATCCCTTAATTTAATTGTAACTTTGGCCATTTGCCAGTGTCCAGCACAGCAGTGGGTCTGCCTTTGCCTCTGCCTCTGTGTCCAGTTCAGGCCGGTTCCTGTATGGCTATGTGCATTCCCTTATCTTTTCACCCAAATGCCTGTGCAGAATGTCACTAATCAAATAATGAAATGTTTGTTAACCGAAACCCAAAGGCAGCTGCTGCGACCAGGTCACAGGACAGCCGCCAGGACAGCAATGAGCGAGCAATGATGATGGGGCAGTTTGATAAGGCAGGAGGGCCAGCTCCACACACCCACCCACCCACTGCATGGCAGCGCAGGGCTCAAACTACACACACACACACACACACACACACACACACACATAAATATTGAGTGCAGAATTGCACTTAATTACATATCACCTGATATTTGTGGGCAGCACAAAGATGATTACGTCTCCGTGAAACATAAAACCTTAAACAGATGCAAGATGCAAAAATAGACAGAAAATGTGTGTGTGTGTGGGCAGGGCAGGGCAGGGCAGGGCCCCCAGGCAGGGCTCCTTTGTGGGCCCCTCCTTCACTTTGTCTGGCATGGCTCTGGCAGACCCCACAGGCAAGACAGACCACAGCCCAAAATCTTTGGCTGTCAACTATCGTTGTCATTGGAAGTAGGCCTTTGTCTGATGATTTGATGACTGCCATAGGGTGTGGAGTGATTCCTTGCCCGTCTGAAGCGCTGCTTGGGATCAACCCTTCCTTGACTTCTGATTCTGTCACTCCGTTTGCTCCGTATAAAGCGAGGGAATATAGAGACTCTCATTTATCAAACAAGCTCCAGCTGAGCACAGACCAAAAAAAATCCTTCTCTAATATATATATATTTTTGGAAATTAAATTAACTAAACACAGAATGTCGTCGTGGGTCGGCATGAAACACCACTCGAAGTTCCGCCAGCTGCAGGCGCAGACGCTCAGCCGCGAGAGCTGCTACGAGAATCTGCGCTTCAGCAGGGACTCGACCAGCTGTGCGGTGAACCCCAAGTTTGTGGCCATCATCGTGGAGTCGGTGGGCGGCGGCGCCTTTATAGTGATACCGCGCTGCAACGTGGGACCCATACCGATGGACTATCCGACGGTGAACGGCCACCGGGGCTGGGTGCTGGACATTGCCTGGAGTCCGCATAATGATCATGTGATTGCATCCGGCTCGAACGATGGCGTCGCCCGGGTCTGGGCCATACCCGTGGGCGGACTGACGGCTCCGCTGTCGACGGCCATTGTGGATCTGGCATTCCACAAGGGTCGCGTCGGTCTGGTGCTGTGGCACCCGTCGGCCCTCAATGTGCTGGTCACGGCCGGTTCGGACAATCAGCTGGCCATCTGGAATGTGGGCACTGGGCAGCTGCTCAGCCACCTGGATGCGCACCCAGACATCGTCTACAGCGCCTGCTTCAACTGGAACGGTTCGATGCTGGCCACAACCTGCCGGGACACGCGGCTGCGTGTCTTTGAGCCGCGCACCGGCGAGCTGCTGGGCTCGGCCGTCTGCCACGAGGGTGGCCGGCCGACACGCGTGATCTTCCTGCGGCAGGGGCTGCTCTTTACCACCGGCTACAGTCGCACCATGGAGCGGCAGTACTCGCTGCGTTCGCTCGAACAGCTGCACCAGCCGCTGGCCATGGTCAACCTGGATGCGCAAATCGGCCTGCTGTTTCCCATCTACGATCCCGACACAAATCTCATCTATCTGTGCGGCCGGGGGGACCATCAGATACCTCAGGTGACGGACAAGGCACCCTTCGTGCACTTCATAAACTCGTTTGTGTCGAAGGAGCCGCTGCGGGGCGCTTGCCTGATGCCCAAGCGTGGCTGCAACATCCACAACTGGGAGATGGCGAAGATCTATCGCCTGAACAACAAAGGTGTCTGCGAGATCATTTCGCTGACGATGCCGCGCCAGACGGACCTCTGCCCCGACGATCTGCCCGACGATTTGTATCCCGGATACGCAGGCCTGCATTGCCGCCATCACGGCTGTGGCTTGGATGAGCGGACAGAATGCTGACCCCAAAATGTACTCGTTTAAGGCCATCTACGGCATCTGGAAGCGCTCGCTAATGGGTGACCACAAGGCGAACATTCTGAACGAACAGCAGACCATCTGCACCGTCTGCGGGCCGGACCAACAGCAGGATGCCGGCCAGGACAAGCCACCCGCCGCCGATGAGACGCTCACAGACAAGCTGTTACTGGCCCTGCAGCAGATGATGCAGCTGAACAAGAAGTTGGTGTACAGCCTGGGCCGACAAAGTGTGGTCGCCAGCATGCAGGAGATCTGCATTCGCTCCCTGCAGGATCGCGTTGATGCCATCGAGGCGCTCTTGTGCCCAGGCACCACATTCGACCACGACGCGAAGCAACATGCCCAGGCGGACACCGAGCAGCAGCTGGCCGCAGCACTGCCCCTCTCTTCGAACAGTCAGGGCTTTGTTACCCTCTTGATGGACTCCTTGATCGCTTCGCTAGGCGGCAGCCAAAATGCCGCCCCTGACAGCAGCAGCAGCAGCGAGGAGGCGGCTGCCAATGATTCAGGTGCAGCCCCGACCCAATGACTGCTGTGCCGAAGATGGGCCAGTCGTTAATGTGTTCTGTAGTTGCATACATTTTATACGAATATTCCCGCTGGCTTTCCAGCGGAAGTAGCGAGTAGCCCGCGATATTAAATGGGTGGGAAACAGAACAGATTGTGTTATGATTGAGAGATGTAGCTAAAGAAGTGTTCGACACGCACACATTCACATGTTCTGGTGTGCACAGACAACAGACACGAAGCCAAATACGTTTCGTGATGCTCTGCCGCTGCGTCAGCCGAGCCGAGCCACACGCAGTTCTTAGGCTGCGCGTGTGCCGACTGCGCTGCCCGAGATTATTTCCTATGCACAGTGCCCCTGGGATTGGCAAAAGACCAAAGTAAAGGTATGTCTGTCATGTATCTTGCCTGGAGGTTGCACCCAAAGACTCTCAATTTTGATACCATGCAACATTTAGTTGCAAAATGCACAAAGTTATGAAACCAAAAACAAGTTTCTTGTTTCTTCCTCCCTCTCTCTCGCCCCTGTAGATCTCTCTGGTATGGGGGCTGTGCTACCCCTCGGTATCCCCACGCAGGTCTAGACACGGCTTCTGGCTGGCTGATTGAAGCTGAATTTGGCTGCGTCCTTGGTACTTTCGCCTTCCAACGCACTGCGTTGACTTTGATAAATTTGTCTTGGCCCCTGACCTATCGTTCCACATTTTTTTTTCCAGCGTTTTGGCATATGGAATCCTTTGGAATGTGTGTGGTGGGTGGGGCGTGGGCTGGCGTAGGATGCTGCAGCATGTTTATTGGTTTGCCTGCTTGAGTTATTGGCCAGGAGGTCAAAGGTTACATTCGTTTTGCTTCTTTCGTTGCGGTCGAGTGGCATTGAAAAGGGTGCCACTGGCGCAAGGACAGCATGGGTGGTGCAGGGAGCAGGAGCTGGAGCTGGAGCAGCAAGGGGGTCGCAGGGTCGGTCGCATAATTCAATCATTTAGTCAAATAATCAATCATTCAAGTGAATCATTAATTAATTCGGTATCAAGCATTTAGCTTTGACCCCAAAACATGTCGCCCAACCGCCCGCCCCGCCCCACCACTACCAACAAAAACACTTTTCCAGCACAGCAAACTGTGTGAGGTAGGGGGGGGGTGGGGCAGGGGTAGTGTGGTTGGCCCTGTTCTTGTTCTCGTTTTGGGATCCTTGGCCCTCCCGGTTGTGTGTGTATTTGTAATTAACTGTTCTTTAATACGATTTGCTTGATTTTGTGGCGGCTGGGGGTTGGGGAAACAAAACTGTTTTTCTGAGGCAAACCTCCAGGGGTATGCCCATTCACATTCACACAGCCCCTCCCCCCAAACTGTGGTTGCACCCAAGCCAGACCTCAGGCCCAGCCACAGCCAACAGCCAGCAGCCCCAGCAGCCCCAGCAGCCCCAGCAGCCCCAGCAGCCCCAGCAGCCCCACTACCCAAGCTCCCTCTCCCTTCCCCCTTGGCAGCCCAATCCCAATCCCAGTCCCAGTCTGGTTGTATTTGAAGCTGCGATTTAATTTGCCAAAGTTCTTGACGCCTTCGCTTTTTGTCCCATCATTTGTTTTGCCTCTGCCGGGCTGCTGTTTGTCCCACCCTCTGTCTGTCCCGCTCCCCTGTCTGTCCCTCCCTCTCTCTGTCCCTCTGTCTGTCCCACCCTCTTTCCCTCCCTCTGTCTGTCTGTCTGTCTGTCTGTCTTTGCCTGTTTGCCAATGATAAATGTTTGCCGGGCCGATGTTACGTTAATGATGACACTTCTTGTTGTCAACTCAGCGGCGTCACTTGGTGATTTGTCACTGATGGGCAGAGTTAGAGGTAGTTACGCCCCACCCATCCCCCCTTCCCTTGCCTATCGGGCATCTTGACAGGTAAAGCCACGAGTGGCCATGCCGGTCAATGGCTCCATGTCTGATTAAGTGATCCGAAGTAAAGTTTGCCCGACTGCCTGCCTGCCTGGTCGCCTTCCCGGGGCTGAATGACACGACAATAAGGCGATCAAGGACGCCGCACACTGCCAGCCAAGGACAAGGACATCGATGACGGTGCACTCCGCACGTGCGGACTTAATGATACCCAGTGCGGGTACAACTGTGCATCCGTATCAGTATCAGTATCAGTTCATCCTCCCTGAGCAGAGAAAAGCAGACAGCAGAGAAATTCCCTCAGTTTACTTCCGCACTCCGATCGGCACAGCTAAGCTCTGCCTCCTGTGTGTGTGCAGAGCAGAGCAGAGCAGAGCTTAGCTGCCCGTCAGAGAGTGCCTGTAATCATTCAAAATAACAAAACACAAACTTGGCTGAGGAACTAAGCCACCCTGCCGTCAGAGAGAGAGAGAGAGGAGGGACTCTGCGTACTGCGAGTGATGAAAACAGGTTATAAAAACATGTGTAACTAGACGACTTACAAGGATCACGCACTCCAGTGACACTTAATGCCGCCACGTTGACATTGCTGGCGCTGCGAGCAGGGCGCCCCAGGAAGGGGCAGGAGCAGGAGCTGGAGGCAGGAGGCAGGGCAAATGTCAGCAACTAACACAGACAAACGCAATTAGCTTTTAGCCATCATAACATTATGAACGACAGGCAGCCACGAAGGAAACGGCTATGGCGATGGCGATGGCGACAAGGACGAGGACTGCGACGAGGACTGCGACGTGGCTGGGGATGGGGCTGAGGATGAGGAAGAGGATGAGGACTGGGATGCCGTCTGAATGCTAACTGCTAATGACAAGGATGTGGATGGCAGGGACGAAGTACGAAAGCCAGTAACTGAAACTGAAACTGAAACTAAGGCAGCAGCAGCCAGCAGCCAGCAGCAAGCCCAAGCCCAAGTCAATGAATGGCAAGGAAGGGGCAGCCAGCAGCCGGCAGCCAGCAGAGGCATGAGAAGGGGCTGCTGCTGCTGCTGCTGCTGCTGCGGTTAGGATGAATGCCGAGCTGGGCGCATTATGTTGATGTGACGATGACGGAGGGGCAGAGGCAGAAGCAGGGGCGGAGGTAGGGGCAGAGGCAGTGGCAGAGCGGGTGAAATGAGGAGCTGTTGCTGGGTATCCAGGGGGGTAAAGCTCACGGATGGCACGCGGCTGCCAACAATGCTGTTAACTTGTGTCGAGATTAAAATAAGGACACTCCGAGAGTAGGAAAAGCCCCAGACTCCGACCCCAGACCCCAGACTCCGACCCCAGACTCCGACCCAGACCCAGATCGAGAACCAGACCGAGAACCAGACCGAGAGCCAGACCCCAACAAATTCCCCCCCCACACACAGCCACACAGCCACATCCGGATGGACGTGCCCCCAACACAGTCATCACAGTTGTCGGAGTTGTCGGAGTCGTTCTACTCCTCAGCATCAGCCTCCTCATCCTCAGCCCCATCCTTGTTGAGAGTTGACTCGCATGAGTTGCGAGCTGAAGCTTTGTTTATTACTGGAATGAGACTGGCAATGGAAATGGGATTGGGACTCGGAATGGGAATAAGGCAGCGTGGGAATGGGGGAGTGTGGCAATGGGTGATGGTGGCTTGGCTTGCCTTGCCTTGCCTTGCCTTTGACTAAGGCCCAAGTGTCCTGTGGATGGCCCCACTGCCGTGCATGTTCTGATGGGTGGATGGGGTGGTTGGGGTGGAGCATGGTGCTGGCGAGGGGTGGGAGGAGAGGGAGCATCAGCCAGTTGGCTTCTAAAAATTACTGCGTAAATGATGATATGAGATTTAGAACATTTCTGCGGCATCATTCGACGGAAGCGGATACACGGAGTACGACGAATATGCCTCGACCCAGCGTGGTCTGTGGTGGGGCCGGGCGGGCGGTACGGAAAGGGTACGGCAGGGGTAGGGCGGGGTACGGAATGGAGCGGCCAACTGTGTGGCCTGGTGATGTTGTCGCCACCGGAAGGAAGTTATTTAACACATCCCCACACACACACACGCACACACACAGGGGGCATGGGCATGGGGAAGGGGGGGATTATGTAGCACGATAATCATATTACGATTACGTCGCGTAAAATTTGCTCCACTGTGAGAGTGAGTGAGGCTTAAGTGGAAGCCAAGGGCAGGGAGAGAGGGAGGGAACACTGACAGACTGCGGATGAGCTACGGGCAGAGATATAGCAACACATCAAATAATTATACATGTACTCGTGTACCCACGACCTGCACAGACCTCACAGGGCAGGAGAGGGCACAGGGCACAGGGCACAGGGCAGGCAGTGTGGCAGGGGGGCAGGCGGGGTAATCGTGCCCGGAATACACTCTTTTTTTGACTCTCGACAGAACAAACAAATTTATTCAAATTATGACATGCTAAGGCCAAGTCTGGAGTCTGCCTTTGCCTGGGCTTGGGTCTGGGTCTGGGTTTGGGTTTGGGGTTTGAGTTTTTTTGCTGGCAAAATCTCTTCTGACAATGGCTTAGCCCGAGCGGCAGACTTCACCCGGATGGGGGGGGGCACTTGTCAGGCCCAAAAAAAAGGAGTATCCTTCTGTATGCTTATTATCCGCAGCCATATACCACCCACCCACCCCCCTCCTGCTGCTGCTCCTTTGAGTCCTTTTTTTTTTCATAATTGTTTAAATTTTATTTCATTGAATGTCGAGCACTGACGTCGACTGGGGGAAGTGAAGGGAAGCCTGTCTGTCTGTCACTCTTGCTCCAATCGTTGTCAACGTCGTTTCGTCTCCTGTCTGCTGCTTCTGTGGGTTTGGGGGGGATGCTCCACTGCTCCACTGGCTGGGGGAGGGGAGGATAGGGTATGCGGATCGCTTAGCATTAATGTCTTTCATTTATTGTCATTGTTGTTAATGCTTTTTTGTGCTGTGCGTGAGAAAAGAGCATTTGCATTTAAACGTCCGCGAATGCCGCAACGCTGCAGGGGAGCTGGGGGCGCAGGAGGCGCAGGGGGCGGTGTGGGTGGAGCTGGGAGGTGTGGCTGGGACAGAGATTTTGCCTGGATGATTTTTATTGCTCGTTTGTAGTAAATTTGGTGTGTAATTAGAGAGAAAAGGGTTATTATGTTCGTTAACGCAGCGAGCGAGCTCCAGCTCAGCTGAAAGGATCTGCCAAGCGGCGAGAAGGAGGGCAACAGATTGGGGAACAGAGGGCTTGAGCTTGGTCTTCGGCTGGGGACGAGGCGAGGGGTGTACAGTGGCACAGTGAAGGTTAGACGGGCGACACAATGCTGGCCAAAGGACGCACCACAAAGCGACTGGGCCTGACGACCGGAAGGCTTCAGACACAACAGCGGCAGCAGCAGCCAGCAAGAAAGAAAGAAAGAAAGCCCCAAAAAAATAATAGTGGGTAGGGGAAGAGAGGGGGTAGGGGCAGGGACAGAGGCAGGGGCAGGGACAGGGGCAGGCACAGGGTTAACACTGCACTGAAACCAAAACAGGCTAAACGGCAGTGCCAGGCGAAATGAAATTGTGGTGCACCAGAGCGGCTCTGGCGTAGCACTGGGCAGGGGCAGGGGTGCTGGTCCCGCTCCTGCTCCTGCTGCCCTGGGTCAAGGGAATGGAAATGGGCAAGGCGAAAGCGAAATGGAAATGGAACCTGGGCAGGGGAAAGTTGCACTCCAAAGTGGTTTCCCTTCGCTGCAGACCGCAATGTGGCATATTAGTTGGGGCGCATCGAGCGACGCAGAGAGGCAGTGGGGGCACATCACAGGTATTAGCGCTTATGAAGCTCCTCCTGGGTGGCGACATTTAGCAAGGCCAAAGCCAAAGCCAAAGCCAAGTGGCAGCCAAAGCAAGCAAAGATTCTGCTTGGAATTAATTTTGTCTGCTTGGAGCCTTCGAATAAGCCACGAATGAGCCACTGCTGGGCCACAAGTCGCAGTCCCTCGAGTGCCCGAGGCACTCCCTATGGGTGCAGCGGAATTGGGTATGCCACTGTCGTATATCCCCCAGCGGATATCTGCGTTTTGTGCTGGCGACAGGGGGCAGGCGGATGGGTGGGTGCGTGAGGTGTGCCAGTAGCCGGGGTGTCAGCGGGCTGCTTGCCCCAGATGAGAGTGATACAATGATAACGACGGCAGTTGCACTGCACTCCTCCCGGAATGTGGACCGGGGTCGTGTTGGGGTTGGGGTCGGGTTGGGGTGGCAACATCGTGGCTTCGTTTTTATTTGTTGCATTTGTGCTGCTGCTGCCCCATCCGACCCAAGGAAATAAAATTTTAAATGTAACTTTGCTGCGGTAGCCAGTAGTTCGTGTGTGTGTGTGTGTGTGTGTGTGTGTGTGTGTGCTGTGTGTGTGTGCTGTGTGTGTGTCTGTGTGGAGAACGCGGCTTGCGGCCTGTGACGAGTCTGCAGTTAGCAGAAGGCAAAAGTGGCACGGACAGTGACTGCAACTGCTACCAGAACCAGAACCAGAACCAGGACTAGTACTATGACTAGCACTAGGACTATGGCGCAGGAACAGCTACCATTGTGACTCCATCCTTGGCAGCTCTTCTTCCTTGCTCTTTGCCTTTAAGGGCCATGCAGTTGGCATAAAATTTAATTCGCTGCCCTGGGGAAAGAAAGAGCTCAGGAGATTACGTGCCAGCCAGTCAGTCAGCCAGCCCAGACAACGAGCTGAACTGAGCTGCTGAGCTGCTGCTCTATCCCAATCGCAGTTGTCGGGGCGAAGCATTTCAAATACGCATCGAAACAAATTCGGAATCTCAATGGGAGGTCGAGGACGAGGACGAGGTCGAGGTGGTGGTAGCTCCATGGAAATCAGCAGTGAGGAAAATACCCATTCGAGTATGGCTGGCGATGTTGCCAATGCGGAGCGGGACAGCGCCGCCAGGGCCCCCAGGGCCCAGCAACAATGGCAAATGGAACTGGTGGATGCCACGTGGGCTGCCACATTGGTCGGCGATAATATCGCCCTGTCCACTCGCATCGGTGCCGCCAAGAGCGGTGACACCAGCGAAGGTCTCCCTCCATGCGCCTTCCCACGCCTCAATTTAATTGGATTAAATTCAATTTCAGATGAGCTGGCTGATCGTGAAGACGATGGCCCCGTTTACAGTCTGTTTGATGGCGATGCGGATGCGGAGGCGGAGGCGGATATTGACAACGATGATGCGGGCATCTGTGGCGAAGAGTCCATGGCGCTGTTGGCCCACGAAATGCTCTGTTGCTCGGACTCGGAAACGGAGAACGATAAATCCGAAGGCAACTACACGATCAGGGCGTGCCAGAAGCTGGATGGCAGCTTGCAATATGGCCTGCACAATCCCTACCAGCTAATGGACAACGACGAAGAGCCGGAGAAGGATGTCCAGCTGAAGAAGATCAACGAGCGGCATGCAGCGGTCTTTCAGTACAGAAAGCAGCAAACGGGGGCAGCCACAAAGGCAGTGCAACTGCCACTGCCACTGGCAGTGCCAACTCAAAGCGCAGGCAGCTTCAATTATTTCTGAGCAAATATTATCCGCAAAACGGCACAGAACTCCGACTGAATTTCTGATGCTTTGAATTCCAGAATTTATTTCGCGATTTATACTTAATTTATTTGTTGCAAAAATTGTCATGTAGCGCCACCAAAATTATTATTATAAGTGAGCCAAAATTATTAGTCAAACAATTACATAATTACATAAAGCATTTAAGCATCTAAGCATTTTTCTGAGCGATAAATTTGTAGCTGCAATTATGGGATAAATGTAGACCGAAAAGCACATTAGAAATTGATGATCAGCTCTGCTTGAACCCTGGATATTTAATCACAGACAGCAATATCGAATAAGAAACTACTCTGCAGCAGATCACGCGTTTGCTATAAGCCACTTGGTGCAACAAACTCTGATCTACGCACCAATTGGTGGCCACAAATAACACATACACTTCCACACTTTGTTCATATTTAATCTGATTACTTTTCAACAGTATTCCAGAGCATTTCCCGGACAAGGCTGAGCATTCGCAGGATCTTTCAGTCGTTGATGCTGATACCCAATCGTATACCAACACTGCCATATCATAAATCATTTCACTCGAGATCGTGTAATCAATCACACACAAACACACAGAAGATCCCCCACTCATGGCCCACACTCACCTGTTCGCACTCGAAGAAGCTGCTCTGATGGCTGCTGCTCTGTTGGCTGCTGCTCTGATGGCTGCTGATGATGATGATGGCGAGTTGGCAATGTAGCTTGCTGCATTCAACAAAAAGCTGAATGGCGACGGCAACAGGCGAGCCGAGTTGCTCCCTCATCCGCAGCGGCTATCATTTATTGAAGTAATTTTTGTTGTATATTTTTGTTCTTGCCAGTCTCACAGCAAGAGAAGCGCTCTGTGGGCCAGTTGCCAAAGAGCCGGCGAGTCTTTAATTGCAAACAGCTAAAACTGACTGCGAAAACTGGATGGGGGGGTGGCAGCTGCAGTTGCATGCAACTAAAACAACGACAAAGGCAGTGAAAAACAGCGTCAAAAACCAAAGCAAATATGCGAGATATGTATGCTGATGATGGGGATTCGGATGCGGATGGGGATGCGGATGGTGGCTAAGGGAAAGTCTCACTCCTCGCTGCACTTAACGTAATCGGCGTTTCGGTGTTGGCTTTCAAATTGGCCGCGACCGCGTCAAAGCGGCCGCAAAACTAGCTAAACGGACGACCATTGACCGGCGACCGGCAATCGGACGACCGCAGGTCAGGTCTGGGTCGGGCCTTTAGCCGTACTTTGGTTCCGTACTTTGGTGCGCCTTGGTTTGGTTTGGGTTACGCTTTGCTTTGGCTTGGACGGGGCCGCAGCTGGAGCTGGCAATTGCAACTGTTGCGGAGGCGGCCAAAAAACAAAACAAAAACAGAAAATTAAAAAAAAAAAATCACTCACCACACACTCGAAACACACACCAGCAGGGCACACACAACACACTCGTGAGATGCCGGGCAAAAAAAAAAAAAAAATGTAACAGAAATCGTTTGGGGATATATCGTATGTTTTTTTTTTTTTTTTTAAGTATTTTTGAAGTGCAGCGAACCGTACGTGAGATCACCGGGAAATTGCGCTGGCACTAGAGACGCGTCAAGTCGAGATTTGGCGAGAGATTTGCGAGCCACGCACGTGTCCACATCCGCATCCGGTACCCGGTACTGATGTCAACAAGCTACCACACGCAACTAATTCAAAAAATCCAGCGAACGGATTACGGACAACGTCAACGTCTACGGGGTACGCTACACGGGGCCCGCAGTCCCGCAGTCGAAGGCAGCATCGCCAATCGGCGACGCCTGCCAGCACTCGGCTCGGGCATTCGGCACGTCGCGAGGCGCCACGAACTGGTGAATGGTGCTCGTGGGCAGGTTCGTGGCAGTTCGTTGCTGCTCGTTTCTGGTCGTCCCCGTAGACGATGATTTCAGTCGTTGGTCGCCCGTGGAGTTGCTAGCACGTGGCAGCCGGCACAGGGCACCCGGCACAAGGCACAGGGCACCAAGGCACAAATGAATTTGGCTTCGTCTCTGTCTTCCACTCGAGCGTTCGAATGGGCGAGTAAGTGGATGGACGGGATGGACTCTGTGGAAGGAAGTACGAAAGGAAGGCAGGATGGATTGTGGCCCTGTGTGTATTAACGTGTTGTGCGTATTATTTAAAAAGCAGCTTAACCTGCTTTTGTAACCTTTTCCCTTGGCCCAACACGTGGGCAACCAGCGCAGCGCCGTGGGCTCAGCTCAGCTCCACACTGATTCACATTTGTCCGTTCTGTTTTTTTTTTGATTTTTTTTTTTTCTTTTTTATCGATGGAGATGGATATACTCTGTTTGTCTGTCTCTGTGTGCCTCTGGATGTGTCCGTGTGGCAGTGCGTGTTGATAAATGAGTTTTTATTTTGATTTTATTCACTGTTTACCTTATTTTTGCATATTCATTGAAGGGACTTCGGACTGCGGACTACTCCTGGCTGTGATTCCATTTGCTGATCCTTATGTGTGTGTGTGTGCGTGGCTGTGTGTGCGTTGGACTGCCCTTTTGCCTTGGGGCTCTGGCATGGAAAATGCTGAAATGGTTGTCAATTTATTAGCAATCAGTGGCATTAACAGCTGAATGTGATGCCCCAGTATTTCCACCCCCCAAGCGGAAACTCTCTCCCTCTCTCTCTCCCTGTCTCTGTCTCTGTCTCTCGGATTACGAACAGTTCAGGCCAGGCCATGAGGTGGGCGTCCCTGATCATTGAAAGTGCCAGTTAAATGGATGAAAGCCAGTGTTGGCAGCCAGAAGTGCACCCACTTGTGTTTAATCACGATGCCTCACAATGGGGCAGATACTCGTGCCAGCAGATTAACTTAAACGTCATCGGGCTGCGATCGGAGTACGACTTTGGGCCACTGACTGCCCAATCATGCGAATCGTTGATATAAAAAATGGTATGACATAAAGGCACTCAGCAAATATTTGCAGCTTTGTTGGCATGCGAATCAACTGATCAGTGGACGGGCAACGCCTGCAGCAGATTGCATTTAGCGAGTTAAATATTTTTACTGGGCTGACATTTAATATCTGTAGGGGGAGAGAGGGACAGACAAAGTGAGATAACTATTTACAGTTGGATCATACAATTCATAATCATATTCGATATTTGCTTCAACGTTTGCCAGCTGCTGCTCATCGCCAAGCATCGAAATATTAATCGCATCAAACTCTGCTTGAATCTGAGGCCCATCCAATCTTGTGTTCATACCACTCTTTAATTATTTGTAGCTTTATTTCTTAAGCCGATCCTCGCCTTAAGCTCGAGCTGTCTCTGATCGTTGCCTCTCGCTTTCTCGTCTTGTCTCTCGTCAGTGTGTGGAATATTGCAGCTTAGCAGTCTCCTCAGACTCCTCAGACTCCTGTTCCTTTTCCTGTTCAGACTGTGCAGACTGTTCAGACTGTTCGCTGCAGCTTTATGTTTTGTGCCGCCCCCCTTCTTGGCGGCATTTGCTATTCCGTTTTTGCTGCATGCCCAGAGCCATAATCGCCTTTGCCGGACGGGCGGGCCTCCTCCATGATCGGTTTTCCATTCATTGGGAGTTCCGTGTGCCGCCATAATGCACTCTACGGGTCGGACTAGAACCGCAAAAGCGGCAAATTGGACGAGTCGGTTAACGGTGGTTCCTTCTTGTGGGGGGGTCTTCGATTCGGATACGGATTCGGATTCCGTTTCCAATTCCCTTTGCCCTGTTCCCTGTGCCCATTCCAATGGCAGTGGCAATGCCAATGGCCATGCAAATGGCAGGAAATGCGTGATAACGACCACCGACCGACACACAGAAAATATTGAAAATTTGAATGGAGGCAGCAAAAAACACATACACATGCACATACTCACACAGCCATCCGCCACACATCTCGGCGCTGGAATGAAGAGTGAGTGAAATCCGTAGCCGTGGCCCGTAGCCGTAGCCCGTAGCCCGTAGCCGTGCCCGTAACTGCATCTGAGCCTGTGACTGCGATGTCTTTGTCACTATCCGTGGGCAACATAGCTGGCTATGGGGCACAGGGACAGGGACTGGGGCTGCAGCTGGATGGATGGAAAGATGAAGATGATTTTGGGCTTGGGTTTGGGAATGTTGTGAAAGTGTCGACACCAGTCCCGGCCAGGCCAAACACATGGCAAATGGCACATGGCAGACGATTCTCGTCCACTGTTCCTCTTCTTGCTCCTGTTTCTGCTCCTGTCCTTGTTCCTTCTCCTGTCCTAGTGACCATGCCAGTTCGTCCCTGCCATCTACTGCTCTTCCTCGCCCTGCTGCTCTTCCTCGTCCTCCTGCTCTTCCTCGTCCTTCCGCTCTTCCTCTGGCTGCGAGTGTGAAGGAACGGGCATAAAGAACCGCAAAATCATGAAATGCAATAATGAAGGAAGGCTTCATGGTCGATCGCTTCCACAGACACGCACACAGAGAGCAAAAGAGAGAGAGAGAGACAGAGAGAGCAAGAGAGAGAGAGAGAGCAAGAGAGAGAGAGCAATAGAGATAGCTATAGAAAGGCACAGCGTTTGGCATAGGGGGCTGTGTGGTGGTGGTGGTGCTGGGGGGGGGGGGATACAGCTCTGATGCATAGGCAGTGAAAAGAGCAGCTTTGCTTTGTGGGGTCTGAGGGGGGAAAAGCAAGACGTGCAATCGACACGACCGTCAATGGCATCTGTCCATGTGTTGGTCTGTATTTGTAGCTATGTGTGTGTGTGTGTATGCGTGTGTGTGTGTGTGTCGACACCACAAAGTTGCCATATTTAAAGCATAAAAGCAACATTTCCGTTTGTCGCATGCCGATGAAGCGACAGGAAAACAGAGCAGGCGGCAGGCGACAGGCAGGCGGCAGGCGACAGGCAGGCAGGCAGCCGAAGCTGCTGGCTGGCTGGCTAGCATCGACAGGGAACGGGGCAGGTCAGCAGAGGAGCAGAGCAGCAGGATACCGTGGCAGACTTCAGGGTTTAGTACCCCAAAAAAGAGAGTCACAGCGGCGAGGCGGTGCGGGGCGGGGCGGGGACTGCAACTAAGCAGAGGTCGAGGCCTACCCCCCAACCCCAACCCCCAAACCCCACTGCGCGTCGTCTGTGTGTGTGTGTGTGTGTGTGTCAATTTGTGTGCGTGCGCGTTGCAGTCATGTACAACATGCAACAAACGTGAGAAACTAAAATGAGTGCAATTTGTATGCCACGTTTACGTAGAAAAGGAGTTTGCCACCCAGAGGGGCAGGCGGCGCCCGAGGCCGAGGATTGGTTTTGGGATATATATATATACAGAGAGAGAGGGAGAGCGAGGGGAGAGACGGGGAGGGGGAGACACAGACAAGAATATGTGAAACGAATGGAGCAGTGGCATGTGTCTGATATGCAGCCTCATCAAATCATCAAACCCGACCTCAACCACAAAGAGACAGAGACACAGAGAAAGAGAGAGGACAGAGAGACAGAGAGAGAGAGAGAGAGACAGAGAGAGAGACGGGCATTCATTCTCTTGCTCTGCCTGCCTCCTCTTTTGGCTGGCACAAATTTCATTTTTGCCTCAATTGTCGCATAAATTATACAGATTAACACATTGGAGATGCCTCTGACAGTGGATGATGGCACTCCTCGTGCCGGATCATCATTAAATTATGGTCAGAGCATTGTGTCCAAAAAAAAAAAAAGAAATACAGGCAACAAAAACTCGACCTGTTTGGGTCACCAGCGGCACTTGGGTCACCATCAGCACCACCATTTCTCTCTCTCTATCGTACTTGTACTCTTCCTCCTGCTGCTGCTCTTGCTCTTCTATGTTGCAGCTGTTCGTGTGCTTTGGTAATTGTTTAAAGTAACTGCAACAAATTGAAACGGAATGCGAGACCGAAGAGAGGACAGAGCGCAGAGCACAGACAACACAGAAGGAAAGAAGGCCAAGCACAAGAGTTTATACCCTAACCTG